AGACTCGCTTGAGCCCAGGAGTTGGAGGTTGCTGTGAGCTGTAATGCCACGGCACTCTGCCCAGGGGGACAGCTTGAGGCACTGTCTAAAAAAAATAAATAAATAAAATAGGAACATTACATATTATATCAGGTGACTTAAAGGATTAAACTGATATGACTGCTTCATATCCTACATACTATAAGCTTTTATTGTAGAAATTAAAAACTTTTTTTTCTTTTGCAGTTTTTGGCCAGGGATGGGTTTGAACCCGCCACCCTTGGCATATGGGGCCAGTGTCCTACTCCTTGAGCCACAGGCACCACCCCAAATGAAAACCTTTTATATTCTGAATTTTTCTATTCTGTATAGTCCAGTCTTCTTAGCACCAACAAAACTACCATTTCCTCAGGCAAAAATGATCTCTCCTAATACCAGAGTAGGAACTTAATTAAGAAAACTCACCATATATTAGTGATTTTCAAATGACTTTGATGAAGATGATAGTTACTAATAGTGTTCTATGTTGGAAAGGGCGGAACAGGGAAGGTATATTAACAATATGAGGGGATAAGTGAGTTAATTGGCTCCACTACAGTAACCATTTTATGTACTACGTTTTAACTTAAGTTGTATACCTTAAATATACATAATAAATTTTAAATAAAATTAAGAAACAATTTTCACGTTATAGAAATAACCTTTAAAGCTCTTACACAAAAACTTAGCCTGCAGTCACGTAAAGAAAGTGTCAAGGACCCTACTGCTGCAGCAGTTTCAATGTTCCTTGTTCCTCTGGTGACCTCAAGTGAGATAATATAACCTTGGCAGGGTATATGTACATTTTAAAAGAAAGCACTTTTAATTCAAAGAAATTGGTGAAATTTCAGAAGGAATTGAAAGACACTTTTTAGTTGTTTCCCCCCCCCCACAGGAAAGTGTTACATTTAAAAGGGGCAAGAGGGCAGTGTCTATGGCTCAAAAGAGTAGGGTGCCAGCTCCAATTACCGCAGGTGGCGGGTTCAAGCCCAGCCCCGGCCAAAAATTGCAATAAATGAATAAATAAATAAATGGGGCAAGAGGCCTCAGAGGTCCTTCATGGTCCACCTATTCCTCCCACTCATTACTCCCCTCTCCTCTCAATGTGTGTCCCAAAGGGCTTGTATCTTGACCCTCCCTCCTACTCCATCCTCTCACAGCCCAACAATTACCCCTCCTTTCGGATATAAAAGAAAAATGACAAAAACTTGACCTCTTTGGCCCTGGGTCTTCTCTCTCGATTTAAACTTGCACCAGAGTGTACCATCTGACACGAGGTTTCCCTGTTCATAGGCGGTAGAAAAAAATCTAGCCTATTAGCAAAGCTCATATTAATTATTATACCTCTTGTTTACACAGTATCATAATTTGCTATTCATACGTCTGATTTCTTATAACATTAAAATATTGAACAATGCTAGCTTTTGCTTTTTTAAAAATCTGAGACAGAGTCTTGTAATACTGTCCAGGCTAATCTCAATCTTCTAGGCTCAAAGGATCCCCCTGCCTCAGCCTCCTGAGTGGCTGAAATTACTAGGGTGTACTGCCTTGCTTGGCCTGAAGAATGCTAGCTTTAACACAAGAACTTGTCAAGATTCAAATATTTATATATTACTTTTTTGTTTAATTGCATATTTATGGAGTACAATGTGATGTTTTGATCTATGCACATATTACAGAAAGCTTTAATTAAACTAATAAACATATCTATCACCGACCAGCCTGTATTTTTTTATTGTGAGAACAATAAAAGTGCATTTTCACCATTTTGCAATATACAACATACTACCAACTAGTCACTGTTCAGTTCAACAGACCACTAGGCCTTATCTCCAAAGAAACCAAAATCAGTTTTATCAAAGAGATTATCTACACTCCCATATTCACTTAAGCATTATTCACAATAGCCAAGATTTGGAAACAACCTAAGTGTTCATTAGCAGATAAATGAATAAAGAAAATGTGGTACATGTGTGCAAATTATCACACACACACAATGAAATAAACTATTCAGCCTTTAAAAAGAAGGAAATTCTGTCATTTGCAACAACACAGATGGAACTAAAAGAACATTATGGTAAGTAAAGTAAACCAGGCATTGAAAGATTACTGGATGATGTCACTTCTATGTGGATTCTAAAAATATTGATCTCATAGAAATAACAGAATATAAATGGAAAGGCAGGGAGGGCTGCCAAAGGTTGAGGGAGGCTGGGGGGTGGGATACAGATTAAAGAATACAAAGTTTTGTTTAGACTAGAGCAATAAGCTTTAGTAATTTAAATTTTACTCTTTAGAAACTTTAAGGAAATGTTGATCCAAAATTTTATAACTCTGAAATAAATACTTTAGTTCTCTAATTAACATGAAATATTCATTCAACTTAAATACAAACCTGTATGGGTGGAATATCTGGCAGTGATGGAAGGTTTTCTGGATTGGTAACTGAGGGGATTAGTTCTATTGCTGTAACAGATGGGCTGGTGGGACCTCGGTTTGCATTTGCCATAGTTGCCGTAGTAGGACTCGTGGGGTTGATTGTGGTGTTGTGTACCGATACAACAGGGAAGGGTCCAGCATGCCCTGGGTTTGAATGCTAATAAGAAAGAAGTCATCATTACTTGATCTGCAAGAATATTAGAATATGAACTACACTCTTACAAAAACTTTAAGTTTAGGAAGGATGAGGGTTTGATATCTGTGGCTGAGAAACAAAGAAGTGAGCCATCCCAAATTTATTCAGAAGAACAGTTCAAACTCAGCCTTTTCTTTTTTTTTATTCAGCTTCTTGTGGTATCTTGGGAAAAAAAGACTTGCCAATAATTTTCAACCTGTCACCCAATGATATGATCTTATTTTAGAACTAGGAGATACATATATATAATATATGTAATTATAATATATATATATAAAATTATAATATATATAATAGTTGATTTAAAAGCCTCCAAGTTGGCTGAATTCAGTGGCTCACACCTGTAATCCTAGCACTCTGGGAGGCCAAGGTGGGTAGATTGCCTGAGCTCACAGGTTTGAGAACAGCTTAAGCCAGAGCAAGACCGTGCCTTTAAAAACAGTTGGGCATTGCGGTGGGTACCTGTAGTCCCAGCTACTTGGAAGGCTGAGGCAAGAGAATAGCTTATTTCCAAGAGTTTGTGTACCAAGGATGACAAAGTGAGACTCTGTCTCCAGTTTTCAAACAGGTCAAGAAAACTACTGTTCTGTTTACATTTCTCTGATTTAGTTTTATTTGTTTTGAGACAGTCTCACTAATAAGACACGGTCTTACTCTGTCACCCAGGCTAGAGTACAATGGTGGCATGATCAAGTTCACTGCAGCCTAGAACTCCTGGGGCTCAGCCTAGAGAACCACTTTGTCCTCTTTAGTAGCGGGAATCCAGACGTGTGCCATCATTTTATAATTTTTTTGATATGAGGTCTTGCTATGTTCCCTAAGCTGGCTTTGAGCTCCCAATCCTCCTGTCTCTGCCTTCCCAGTCACTGGGATTACAGGTAAAACAGGATTTATATAGTAGAAAGAACAATGAATTTACAGAAAGGAAATAAGACATCAATTCCTCACTATACTACTGTGTGACCTTCGGCAAATCACATACTCTCCATAATTTAGAAATGTGGATAATGATCCCTCACAATTTATTTCATTTATGATGACTATTAGGAAAATCATTTAGGATAATACACATATAGATGAAACTTTGGGGGAAATAACATTACTATACACACATAACTTACTCATTTCAAACATTTAAAAGCTAAAAATGATTAATAAAATTTAGTGATTTCTGTAAGGGTAGCCCTAAAATCTAAGGAAAATGTTCTGGCTTGGTGCCTGTAGCTCAGCGGTTAGGGTGCCAGCCGCATACACTGGAACTGACGGGTTCGAATCCATCCTGGGCCTGACAAACAAAGACAACTACAACCAAAAAATAGCCAGGCATTGTGGTGGGCACCTGTAGTCACAACCACTCAGCAGGCTGAGGCAAGAGAAATCACTTAAGTCAGGTGTCCTCAAACTATGGCCTGCGCAGGTCACATGCGGCCCGCCTACTTTTATCTGGCCCGCCGGGTGTTTTTGCCACCGCTGCCTGTCCTGCTTAGCAGCAGACTCGTCCCGGGTCCCACAGTCCAGCCCTCCAACGGTCTCAGGGACAGTGAACAGGACCCCTGACTTAAGCCCAAGAGTTGAACGCTGCTGTGAGATGCTGACACCATGGCACTCTACCCAGGGTAACAAAGTGAGACTCTGTCTCTAAAAAGAAAAAGAAAAAAGAAAATGTTCTGAGACTGGGCGCGAGTGGTTCACGCCTGTAATCCTAGCACTCTGGGAAGCTGACGCTGGTGGATGGCTTGAGGTCCTGAGTTCAAGACTAGCCTGAGCAAGAGTGAGACCCCAGCTCCACTAATATTAAAAAACTGAGTCAAGAGGATCACCTAAGGCCCAAGAGTTTGAGGTTGCTGTGAGCTATGATGCCACAGCACTGTACCAAGTGAGACTCTGTATTTAAAAAATAAAAAATAAGTTCTGAAATGGTTGGTAGTGGGATTCTGTAACTTCTGCAATCTTTGAAATGGTGTACCTGGTCCCTGGTAATACTTAAAGGCTTTCCATGAACTAAGAGGTGCATGGTGAACAGTTTTAAGGAAAATAATGTTCAGATTCCCAACCTTCGTATGTACTCTCTTCTTTAAAAAAAAAAAAATCCTGCTTGCCTAAGAATTGCCATGCTGGGCAGGGTCTTTTCCATTTTTGCAACTGCCCTTCTTTCCCTTGACAAAAGAATAGCACATTTCTGACTCATTCCTCATCTTATTCAAGGCACACTGCCCCAGGATGGGGAAAAAAAACCTATAAAAATCGAAAGTATAATCAGAAATAGTAATATTGGGTACTGAAAGTGACTGGCTTTAAAACCTGGGTCACAAATCTTCAAATGGGTTTCAACATTTGATCAACAAAAGCAAAGACCTGGGAAGCTGTCACTGATAAAAGGTGTTTTGTTTTGAGAAAGAGTCTCACTTTGTCCCCTTCAGAAAAGTACACTGGAGTCACCATTCACAGCAGCCTCAAATTCTTGGGCTTAAGTGATTCTCTTGCCTACGCCTCCCAAGTAGCTGGGACTACAGGTACCTGCCATAACACCTGGCTATATTTAGAGACAGGGTCTTGCTCTGGCTCAGGCTGGTCTCCAAATCCTGAGCTCAGGCAATCAACCACCTTGGGCTCCCAGAATGCTGGGATTACCAGCATGAGTCACTGGGCATCCCGCCTGATAAAAGGTTTATGAACAATTTTGATAGATCATTGTGAGATTTAGCTTACAGTCTAGAAAAAGTTAGAAGAACTGAGGATTACTGTAATAAAATTCTTTTTTTTTGAGACAGAGCCTTAAGCTATCACCCTGGATAGAGTGTGGTGGCATCATAGCTCACAGCAACCTCCAATACCTGGGCTCAAGTGAGTCTCCTGCCTCTGCCTCCCAGGTAGCTGGGACCACAGGCGCCCGCCACAACGCCCGGCTAAGTTTTTTTTGGTTGCAGCTGTCGTCGTTTTGGCAGGCCCGGGCTGGATTCAAACCTGTCACCTTAGGTGTATTTGGCTGGTACCTTAGCCACTTGAGCCACAGGCACTGAGCCAATAAAACTCTTTTAACTCCCAAATTTTATGAACGGCTTTACTGAGCATCACATGAAAACCCAAAAAAATAGTAGTAAAAATCTGTGTCATGGCTCAGTGCCTGTAGCTCAGCAGCGATGGTGGCAGCCATACACATGGAAGCTGGCAAGTTCAAATCCAGCCCAGGCCTGCCAAATAACAATGACAACTAAAACCAAAAAATAGCTGGGCATTGTGGTGAGCATAGTCCAGGCTACTTGGAAGGGTGAGATAAGAGAATTGCTTAAGCCCAAGAGTTTGAGGTTGCTGTGAGCTGTGTCGCCATAGCACTCTACCAAGGGCAACGTAGTAAGACTCTGTCTCAAAAAAATAATATAAAATAAATCTGCGTCAGACTTGAGGGTGACAAAATGAGACTGTCTCTTCGGAAAAAAAAAATCTCCATGTATTTAAAATAAAAAGTTATATGGAAAAAGAATTTCATTTTATATTTTCTAATACTCCTATACTGTATAAATGCATATATTTTGTTTCAATAACTGTAGAGAAATAATCTAATGATAATTTGGTCTGCAGAGAAAGTTTTAAAACTTAATAATAGACTTATTGTCACTAGGAGTTGAAAAAAGAATTTTTGTACTAATATAAACATCCTTCCTACGTAAAATTACAATGGGCTACTCTATGCCCATCAAGCCAAAATATACTATATTAAGCCAAAAACTCTGTAGAGGAAGTAGAAGAGAACTTCAAATCCAAGGAGAGCTTGCTATTTATTGTATTTGGAACTCCTATATAATAGAGTCATTTAAAAGAATGATATAGACTGAGTGTGGTGGCTCTAGCCTGTAATCCTAGCATTCTGGGAGGCCAAGGCCATTGGATTGCTTAAGTTCATAGGTTCAACACCAGCCTGAGCAAAAGCAAGCCCTCGCCTCTAAAAATAGCTGGGCATTGTGGCGGGTGCCTGGATGCTACTAGGGAGGCTGAGGCAAGAGAAGTCCTTGAGCCCAAGAGTTTGAGGTTGCTGTGAGCTATGCTGCCATGGCATGCTACCAAGGGTGACAAGTGAGACTCTGACTCAAAAAATAACAAATAAATGGAGCAAGATGATATTAAAAAGAAAAGAATGATGTAAACTTTTTTTCACTTTGTATTATCAACATTATAATATGCTAGAAAGGTCATTTTTTTTTTAAATGAGACAGAGTCTCACTATGTCGTCCTTGGTAGAGTGCTGTGGTGTCACAGCTCACAGCAACCTCAAACTCTTGGGTTTAAGTGATTCTCTTGCTTCAGCTTCCCAAGTAGCTGGGACTACAGGCGCTCACCATAATGCCTGGCTATTTTTTTGCTGCAGTTGTCGTTGTTATTTAGCTGGCTAAGGCCAGGTTCCAACCCACCAACCCCGGTATATGTGGCTGATGCAGTAACCACTGAGCTATAGGCACCAAGCCAATACACATTTATTTTTTTTTTTTTTTTGAGACAGAGCCTCAAGCTGTCCCCCTGGGTAGAGTGCTGTGGCATTACAGCTCACAGCAACCTCCAACTCCTGGGTCAAGCAAGTCTCCTGCCTCCACCTCCCAAGTAGCTGGGACCACCTCACAGCAGCCTCAAATTCTTGGGCTTAAGTGAT